TATCTCTCCTCCCTCTCTATATCTGTCTCTCCCTCTCTCTGTCTCTCAGCTTCTGACAAGAGGCTGAAACTCAAGGTTAGAAAAAAAAGTATGCACAATAAAACTATTATTTTCCAAGTGCAGGGATATTTGGACGATTTTTACTCACTTCCCAGGATAAAGACAGTCCCGAGACACGAAAGCAAAACAACCTGTTTCCATTTCATTTTCCCGGAGATCTCGATGTTCGGAACAATGGTGCACTGGGACCGTTTCTGAAAGCAGTTTGGACATTCCAGATGTGTTAAAGAAAGGGGCAGAGTCCTGGTATTTCAATCCGACAGGGGCGGGATCCTGGCTTCTAAACACCTTCATCTCCAGAGTCGGGAACTTAGTCCCCGTGAGGATACGAAAGCAAGAAACACTCAAGATCACAAGAAGTAGCAACAGGAACAAAACGAGAAATTGCTGGAGAAACTCAGCAGGTCTGGCAGCATCTGTGGAGAGAAAACACAGTTGACATGCTTTTGAATTCTCCCCACTGATGCTGTCAGACCTGCTGAGTCTTTCCAGCAATTTCTGATTTTGTTAATGATTTCCAGCGTCAGTTGTTTTTTTTTTGTTTAGAAATAAAAGGAGTGGACCATTTAATGGGACCATGGTGACCCAACATTCCTTACATCCACTTTCCTGCCCTTTCCCAGAACCGTCAATTCCTCTCCTGATCAAGCATCTATCTCAAGCTTTAAATATGTACAAGGACGCTATCCCCACAGCTCTCTGTAGTAATGAGTTTCAAATACTCTCAACCCTCGAGAGAAGAAACTCCTCCTCATCACAGTCTTAAATCCGAGCCCTTTTATTCAGAGAGTATATCCTTTGGACCTATGGGGAAAACTGTCTGCAATCCCTACAACACTCCTATGATGGGATACACACTTTCAACATTTACCCTTCAGAATCCTACATGTTCCAATGAGGTCATCTCTCAAGCTTCTCAAATCCAATTCTAAATTCCACTCCAGGTGCATCCTTCCCATAACTGGCTTTCAGCAGATAGTGACAATCAATAGCTAATGTTAAATCTATTTTAGTTCTGCAGTCATAGACAGCAAGATGAATTTATTATATTTACACAGGATGTAGCACCCCAATACATAATGTGCTGAGATGTTATTAAAGATATGACTGCCAAATGAATTTTAAAAATGTTTGGTAACAAGCAAAACTATTATAATTCTGGAACAAAGCAATAATCTTGGGTACAATCTTCAGTGAGTTTCTGGTTAGAATAGTCTAATTGTGAAATAGCAACATCATAAATGTAGTCCAAATCAGAATCAAATCTCATTGGGACCAAACTGATGTCAAATGTTATCTTGGACATAAACAAAATAAACGTTTCTTTCAAATGTTTATCTTCATCCTTCAACACTTTTAATATTTTCACCTGAAATTGTACATAGCCAGTGCTGAGAATCTAATTATGGGTAATATTGGATGATTGATAACAAGTGTTGTCAATTTTCCCAGACACCTCACATTTGAGTCTTTTTCACAGTGATTAACATTGACTCCACCTCACTCCTGCTAAAACAAAAGAGACTTTTGGCATCGGTTTTCAAAATGTGGATCCATCTCTGAAATCACCTCCAGAACAGTATTAGGGGTGTTGCACTTTTTCTTACTGAAGTCATGATACTATATAATTCTAAATGCGTAAAATACAACCTAGTTGCAGGAAGGATGGGGTCTGAAGAAGGGCCACTGAACCCAAAATGTTAACTCTGTTTCTCCACAAATGCTGCCAGACCTGCTGAGTTTCTCCAGCTCTCTTTGCTTTTGCACAGAGACTGGGTGTTTCAATTATTTTAATGTCATTCATCAAATGTGGAGCATTCACAGCAGTCACTTGGATCATTTGTAGCAAACTGTACCTGCACCCTTCCTGCAAAAGAGAAAGTATGTGAAAAATTGGGCAGACTTTTCCGTTCAGGACCTGATTTCAAATTCAGCCCAGGAACACAGGCCTTTACTGTCTACTTGGTTTGTTCAGCTTTCTTGGCAATGCAGCAATGTGGAAAATATCAGTCTGCTCCAGGAGGTCAGACTGAGGCCCACTTGTTGGGTATAATAGTTCATCTCTCTCTATCCACAAGGTAACTGCCCTGTGGATGGTTCTCGAGGAGCCCTGCTGCTCAGATGATCAGATTCCTTTGCTCCAACAGATTCCATTATTCCCATACACTCTGTCAATGCCCACCTTCAGCATTTACTGCCTTCACCACCCTACATTCAGTAGTAGCAGTGTGAACTATCTACAAGACAAACTGCAGAAATTCACCAAGACTCCTTTGACAATAACTTCCAAACCCATGGGCACTGCCTAGAAGGACAAGGGCAGCAGATACATGAGAATATTATCACCTGTAAGTTCCCCTCCAAACTATACATACAGAAAAAAATAGAAAAAAGTAACAGGAGTAGGCTATTCAGCCCTTTGAGTCTGGTCTGCCATTGAATGTGATCATGGCTGATTTCCAACTCAGTCCTCTGTTCCCACTTTCTCCCCATGCCCTTTGAACCATTTAGCCTTAAGAACTATGATTAACTCCTTCATGAAAATATTCAATATTTTGGCCTCAACCAGCTATTTACTGTGCTTCTCACTCCACAGAAGCTGCCACATCGGCTGAGTTTCTCCAGCACTATGTGTTCTATTTCAGATTACTGGAACTCCTGGTAGGGTTATCTAGTTACCAGGTCTCACAGCCTGAACTTGAAGAGCCTTCACTCTGGCGACCTCTAATATCATTGTTGATCATCCTCATCCTTTCCCTGTCCTTTTTTTCCTGTCTATAGTATCTCAGCAATTAAAAGAATACTTGGTTCACTCAACATGACTCATTTTCTAGAATAATATTACAAGGATCAGCATGCCTGACAGTTCCCTTATTTAGAAAGTGGTGCAAGATGTAAGAAGAGTCAAAAGGAAAAGGTAGTAGCATAAAACAAGGAGTTATTTTGCTATGTTTCAGGCACTGTGTCGTTGTAAATTACTGAGCTTTTTGG